TTAAAATACAAGAACCTATTCTGTTTCTTTAGTCTCCCCCATTTCTTCTTCTTTGATCTGCCTCTTAAAGGAGAATTATTCCAACTTTTTCTTCTAAGCCTCTCCATCTTCCTCCTTTCCTTCTTTTTTTTTTCCTCCAATAATTATCTTGACTTTGAATGTCAAGTTTGTGCTATATATATTCAAGGCACCACTGGGTATACAAAATTAATAAGTCATGATCTCTGCCCTAGTTTTGGTGTGTTGTGCACAGAAAGGCAAGAAAACTTGTAAAATGTGATAAAGTCTTTACAGTGATTAGGAAAATGTGTTCTAGAAGCACAAAAGAGGTGACATCTGAAGTTCCATGAAGGCTAAGCGAGTTAGTGGGGAGGAGGCATTTCAGGAAGGAAAAACTGCAAGGACTCAGGCATGGGGCACAGAAATGGATGGTATCTTGGAGACTTGTTAGTCATTTTGTGTGTTTGGAATGTCGAGTGTATATTGGAGTGTGCACCAGCTGAGGCTGGATAAGTGGGGAGCTAGTGATTTATACTCTCCCAAGTATAGCAGAGTATAAATCCTGCGGGTAGTGGAGAGTAACAAGAGGTGTTTAAGCACTCAGTGGGCTATCTCATTTCTTTTCATGGCTTTAACCAGCATCCTTAAGTTAATTATTCCCAAATCCATACCTGCAGTTCTGACTTTGTTCCTAAGTATCATAATTGTATTTTAAAGTGCTAACTTATTACTGAACATATTATCCTGCTGTAACTCAAGCAAGTTCAGTTCAGACAAACTTACTTTGTCCCTTTACATTGTTCCTCCACTTGGGCTCTTTTCTTTGTTTCATAATGGCAACATTTCTCCAAATCAACTGGGATTAACATCTTAGTGCCATCTTCAGCTTCCTTCTTTATTTGTTTCCCCATAGTATTTTGTTTACCAGAACCCACCACTTTTGCTCCCAAGCACTTCATGGCCATTTCCCTATTTCTTTTTCTACTGCCAATGCCATATGGCTTAAACTTCTGTTCTTTTTCATCTGTATTTTTGCAATGGCCTTTTACTATCCTACTTATTTTCTGTTTTACTTCTAATCCAGTGTGCATAATTGCGTCATAATTTTCTTCCTAAAATATGAATTTCCTGACATAACTTCTAATCTTTGCCACTTTTCCTTATTTTTGCAATCTCTTTCCTAATAATATTGCTTGTCAGAAATCATCATTCTTTGTAACACCATAATGCTTTTAAAAATATCTTGATAACATCACATCTTGCCTTATATTAAAATAAACTTTATTTTTAAAATACTTATACATTTTTGGAAGACAGAGCATATTAGTTACCTGTTGCTGTATAACAAATTACTCCAACATGTAGTGGCTTAAAATAATGCACGATCATTATTTCACAGTGTCACTGAGTCAGAAGTCCAGGGTGCATCTTAACTACACCCTCTGACTTAGGATCCCTCACAAGGCTGCAATCACAATGTCAGTTGAGGGTATGGTCATGATAAGGTTCAAGTGGGGTAGTGTCGGCTTTTCAGCTCACTCAGTGGTTGTTGCAAGGTTTAGTTTCTTCCCAGTTATTGGACAGAGGTTGTCAGTTTCTCACTGGCTGTTGGCCAAAAGCTTCCCTCAGTTACTTACCATATATATATATGTGTGTTTCTTCATGGGACAGCTTACAACATGACAGCCTGCTTCATCAAGTGGAGAGTGGTGAGAGACAAAAGTCGCAGTCTTTTATAACCTAACCTTGGAAATGACATCCCATCACTTTGCTATATTCTGTTTGTTAAAACCATGTCACTACGTCCCGCCCACATTCAAGGAGAGTAAATAATTATACAAGGGAATGAGTAGCAGACAGCTGACTATCACACAGAGCATCTATAATTTTACTCCTGACCTTTGTGACTAATGCTTTATGCAACAGGTGTTTAATAAGTTTTACCGATCGTATTGAAAGATATTGTTGCTTTTTGTAACTAAGACTTATGCTAGTGTTAATCATTAACATCTACATTTGGTTAAAATTAGTTGACCCCTTTGAAATTTTTTGTGTAATATAAAATGAGAAAAAAATGAAAAGGTACTAAATAGTCAGTTGGATCAGTTGGGAGTTCAGTACATGAATGCCACTCAATCATTTGGCAAAAATAATGACAACATACTAGAGAGGGAGGAAGAGAGTAATGTGATGGAAATTATCCCGATACCACTTTTTTTTCTGAATTTCACTTGAAATCAACAACAAAAATTTATACTAAAATTCAGTTCTAGGTAATTTCTAAATTTGTTAATAGTTTAGATGTCTTAATTTTCTCTAATTAGATGTTTATATAAACATTTTAGAATTTAAGGCAGTTGCCAAGTTTGAAGTGAATTTCTGTGTAAAGATGCATAAATTTGAAGTAATGACGGTTTTAAAATTTAATTGTTTATAAACGTAAAAAACTCAGAAAAATATACTTCTCCTACATTTGTTTTAAGTAGCTTTTTATATCATTTTTATGAGCAAAACAATATATAGGTATTAAGGCCTAACTTTCAGGGACTATTAGTGTGTTATAGCTATTTTATTTTTAAATTCAGAAATATTATACTTTGACTCTAATAAATTATTTTTATATGCCTTTTCAAAGTTATAAACAGATTAAAAGAACATAATGTGAAAAGAGGAAAGTTCTGTTAGAAATAGTCCTGGTTTAGCTTAAGGTTTTATTCATTACTTGGGTCAAAATAACCTCAGCTTTATCTTTTTATGTGTGTGTTATCTATTTTTGAGATGCTTGAGATAGAATAAAGCTCAAGTTTCCAGAAGCAGCCAAATAATTGTACTTTGAATTTATAAAATCATTTCTTTTTAGATGACAATAATGAAGCATTTGCGTTTGAGCCTGGCAACAAGTGCATTTGAAAGTTTGCTAAATGAATATAATTGGGAATTAAACAATAAGAAACATATTATTATTTTAAAAACATTATTGAAACCATTACATATGAATTATAAAGTTTTTTTTTCAGGTAATACATTAATTAATCAACTTTTTTTCAGATCCTTATACGTTTATTCAGATATTTCCTTTCATAGACTTGTCTCATCTTCAGGTGTGATTTTTAATGAATATTTTCAATTCTGCTAAAGACTACATTATTAAGTTCTATAAGCAGGCCTAGCTATATATTTACATTTTATACCCTTTTCTCAAGTCAAGCCCATTTGGAATTTAAGAATTTGAAAGGTCATGTAAAAACTAATTTAAAATTTAGTTTAGATAATTTCAATTTTATCACATTTCCAACTGTTATGGTCTCCATAACGAGAGATCAAGCACAATGTCATATATGAACTAAATGTATTGTGTTTTGCGGGAAAGTGAAACCTTTATTAATAATGGCCTATGTGATGGTTAATATGAGTGTCAACTTGATTGGATTTAAGGATGTGAAGTATTGTTCTGGGGTGTGTCAGTGAGGGTGTTGCCAAAACAGATTAATATTTGAGTGAGTGGACTGGGAGAAGCAGACCCATTCTCAAGCTGGGTGGACACCATCTGGTCAGCTGCCAGCATGGCTAGGATAAAAGCAGGCAAATGAATGTGAAAGGACTAGACTGTCTATAAACATATTACTTTTGACCATATATGGAGAACCAAAAAATATGATTAAGTTGCTTGGTTGTTGCTAAGTTTAGTGGACAAAGTGATGACAGAAAACAATAAATTCAGGGATTCTAACTCGTGGCTCCAGAAGACATACTTTTCACCAGAACTTTGCAAAATAGATTTATGAGGGCAGCACCTGCATCCTTGAAGAGTTCTGTGATTGCTCTTCTCTGTATGCCAGATCTTACAGTGGGACTTGCAGTTACTCAACTACAAAATTTAAATACAGTGGGAATAATTGGATCCTGAGATGGCAGGGGCCAAGTGGTGGCACTCAACTGCCAATGGCAAGGTAGGTATAGTTACTGTAATGGACAGCAGAGGCAGAGCAGCAGTCAGAATAATCTGATTTGTGTAGGGCTCTGGCATTGGCTAATTAATCATGGTGTTCCTAGAAGTGAAATTTGTAGGAAGCCTACTGCATTCTTAATTTATATAAGCAGAAAACTTCTGGGTCAAGTGGACAAAAGACTAATTTAAATTACAAAAACAGACAATCACAGTCCCTCAATCAAATTCCAGACTTGAGCCAGTTTACAGACCCAGAACCCCATGAATGAAGGAATAGGCTGGGAAGGCCTTGAGGAAGGACCCCACTACACTATACTACAAACAATTTATGTTGTTAATCTTTTGCCCATCCTTCCGCAAGGAGACCGCTGGCCTTTTACTAGGGTAACTGTGTATTGAGGATAGGGAAATCATCAGACCTTTTACAGACTACTGGACACTGGCTCTGAGCTGACGTTAATTCCCGGGTACCTAAAATGTCATTGTGGTCCTCCAGTTAAAGTATGGGCTTATAGAGGTTAAGTATTAATGGAGTTTTAGCTCAGGCTCAATTTACAGTGGGTCCATTGGGTCCCCGGACTCACCCTGTGGTCATTTCCCCAGTGCCAGAATGCATAATTGGCGTAGACTTACTTAACAGCTGGCAGAATCCCCACACTAGTTTCCTGACTGGTAGGGTGAGGGCTATTTGGTGGGAAAGGCCAAATGGAAGCTATTAGAGCTGCCTCTACCTAGAAAACTGGTAAATCAAAAACAATATTGCATCCCTGGAGGGATTGCAGAGATTAGAGCCACCATTGAGGACTTGAAAGATGCAGGGGTGGTGGTTCCCACTACATCCCCATTAAACTCTCCCATTTGGCCTGTGTACAAGACAGATGGATCTTGGAGAATGACAGTGGATTATCATACGTTTAACCAAGTGGTGACTCTAATTGCAGCTGCTATACCAGATTTGGTTTCATTGCTTGAACAAATTAACACATCTCCAGGTACCTGGTATGCAGCCATAGATTTGTGAAATGTCTTTTTCTCCATTCCTGTCCATCAGGTCCACCAGAAGAAATTTGCCTTCAACTGGCAAGGCCAGCAATATGCCTTCACTGTCCTACCTCAGAGGTATATCAACTCTCTGGCTTTGTGTCATAATTTTGTTCGGAGACATCTTGATTGCTTTTCCCTTCCACAAGATATCACACTGGTCCATTACATTGATGACATTATGCTGGTTGGATCCAGTGAGCAAGAAGTAGCAAACACACTGGTAAGCATTTGTATGCCAGAGGATGGGAAATAAATCTGACTAAAACTCAGGGACCCTCTACATCAGTAAAATTTCTGGGGGTCCAGTGGTGTGGGGTCTGTCAAGATATTCCTTCTAAGGTGAAGGATAAGTTGCTGCATTTGGCCCCTTCTACAACCAAGAAAGAGGCACAATGCCTAGTGGACCTATTTGGATTTCGAAGGTAACACATTCCTCATTTGGGTGTGTGACTCTGGCTCATTTATCGAGTGATGAGAAAGGCTGCCAGTTTTGAGTGGGGTCCAGAACAGGAGAAGGCTCTGCAACAAGTCCAGGCTGCTGTGCAAGCTGCTCTGCCACTTGGGCCATATGACCCAGCGCATCCAATGAGACTGAGGGGTCAGTGCAGATAGGGATGTTGTTTGAAGCCTCTGGCAGGCTCCCATAGGTAAATCACAGCAGAGGCCTCTAGGATTTTGGAGCAAGGCCCTGCCATCTTCTTCAGGTAACTACTCTCATTTTGTGAGAGAGCTCTTGACCTGTTACTGGGCTTTGGTAGAAACTGAACGTTTGACTATGAGTCCTTAAGTCACCATGCGACCTGCACTGCCTATCATGAACTGGGTGCGTTCTGTCCCATTTAGCCATAAAGTGGGTTGTGCACAGCAGCATTCAATCATGAAATGAAAGTGGTATATACGTGATTGGGCTCGAGCAGGTCTTGAAGACACAAATAAGTTACATGAGGAAGTGGCCTAAATGCCTATGGTCCCCATTCCTGCCACCCTGCCTTCTCTCCACAAGCCTGCACTGATGGCCTCATGGGGAGTTCCCTATGATCAGTTGACAAAGGAAGAGAAGACAAGGACCTGGTTTACAGATGATTCTGTACAATATGCAGGCACCACATGAAAGTAGACAGCTGCAGCACTACAACCCCTTTCTAGGACATCCCTGAAGGACAGTGGCAAAGGGAAATCTTCCCAGTTGGCAGAATTTGAGCAGTGTACCTCATTGTGTACTTTATTTGGAAGGAAAAATAGCCAGATGTGTGATTATATACTGGTTAATGGGCTGTAGCCAATGGTTTGGCTAGATAGTCAGGGACTTGGAAGAAGTATAATTGGAAAATTGGTAACAATGAAATTTGGGGAAGAGGTATGTCGATGGACCTCTCTGAGTGGTAAAAAAACTGTGAAGATATTTGTATCTGCTGTGTATTTTCACCAAAGGATGACCTCAGCAAAGGAGGATTTTAATAATTACATGCATGGGATGACTCGTTTGGTGGACACCACTCAGCCTCTTGCCCCAGCCATGCCAGTCATCACCCAATGGGCTCGTGAACAAAATGATCATCGTGGCAGGGCTGCAGGTTACACATGGGCTCAGCAACATGGACTTCCACTCACCAAGGCTGACTTGCCTATGGCCACTGCTGAGTGCCCAATTTGCCAGCCCCAGAGATCAATACTGAGTCCTCGATATGGCACCATTCCTTGGGGTGATCAGCCAGCCACCTGGTGGCAGGTTGATTATACTGGACCTCTTCTATCAAAGAAAGGGCAGAAGTTTGTCTTCACTAGACTAGACACTTACTGCAATTATGTGTTTGCCTATCCTGCATGCAATGCTTCTGCCAAGACTACCATCCGTGCCCTCATGGAATGCCTTTTCCACTGTCATGGTATTTCACATAGCGTTGCCTCTGACCAAGACACTCACTTTATAGCTATGGAAGTGTGACATTGGGCTCATACTCATGATTCTTACCATGTTCCCCATCATCCTGAAGCAGCTAGATTGATGGAACAGTGGAATGACCTTTTCAAGTCACAGTTACAATGCCAATTAGGTGAGAATACTTTGCACGGCTGGGACAAAGTTCTCAGAAGACTGTGTATGCTCTAAAGCAGTGTCCCATATATGGTACTGTTTTTCCCATAGCCAGGATTCACGGGTCGAAGAATCAAGGGTTGGAAGTAGAAGTGGCACGACTCACCATCACCTCTAGTGACCCACTAGCAAAATTTTTGCTTCCTGTTACTGCAACATTTGTTTGTGTTGGTCTAGAGGTCTTAGTTCCAGAGGAAGAAGTGCTGCCCCAGGAGACATAACAATGATTCCATTAAACTGGAAATTAGGATTGCCACCTGGCCATTTTGGGCTCCTTCTACCTCTAAGTCAGCAAGCTAAGAAAGGAGTTACAGTGTTGGCTAGATGATTGACCCAGACTATCAAGATGAAATCAGTCTACTATGCCACAATGGAGGTAAGGAAGAGTATGTATGGAATACAGGAGATCCCTTAGGGCATCTGTTAGTATTACCCTGCCCTTTTTAAGGTCAATGGGAAACTAAACCCCTCCAGGCAGGACTACAAATTGCCCAGACCCTTCAGGAATGAAGGTTTGGGTCACTCCACCAGGTAAAAAGCCATAACTTGCTGAGGTGCTTGCTGAAGGCAAAGGGAATACAGAATGGGTAGTAGAAGAAGGTAGTCAATACCAGCTATGACTACGTGACCAGTTGCCGAAACAAGGACTATAATTGTCGTATTTCCTCCTTAGTCTGTTAAGAACATGTTTGTGCATGTATACACTTGTATGAAGAAAATATCTTCATTTTAGTTTCTTTTTCCTTTATAATGTGACATAAGATTTATTGACTTCATATCAGCATTTAAATGTTGTTAACTTTATGTAATAGCAATTGGGTTGGGATTGGTGTGCTTCCAGTTGTACAAAAGATAGTTGTCTTATGTTAGGTGTAATTATGACCTTATTCTTTTATTTCTCTGAAGATTATATATGATTTCAGGAAATGTATATAGGTTCAAGTTGACAAGGGGTGGACTTGTGATGATTAATATTGAGTGTCAACTTGATTGGATTTAAAGATGCAAAATATTGTTCTGGGTGTGTCTTTGAGGGTATTGCCAAAGGAGAATAACATTTGAACCAGTGGATTGGGAGAGGCAGACCAACCCTCAAGTTGGGTGGGCACCATCTAGTCAGCTACCAACACAGCTAGGATGAAAGCAGGCAAAGGAGTGTGGAAGGACTACGCTGGCTGTGTTCTCCAGCCTACATCTTTCTCGTGTGCTGCATGCTTCCTGCCCTTGAACGTTGGATTCCAAGTTCTTCAACTTTTGGACTCTTGGACCTTAGACCACAGACTGAAGGCTGCACTTTTGGCTTCCCTACTTTTTAGGTTTTGTGACTCATACTGGCTTGCTTGCTCCTCAGCTTGCAGACGACCTATTGTGGAACTTCACCATGTGATCATGTGAGTCAATACTTAATAAACTACCCTTCATATATACATCCATCCTATTAGTTCTGTCCCTCTAGAGAACCCTGAGTAACATAGCTTGGTTACTAATTTGTTCAATACTGGCTTTAAGGATATTATCATAGACTACATTTTGATAAACAATAGAAAGTAATATTATTAAATACCTTCTTACTACTCCAAAAATGAAGATCAATACAATTATTATTAAAAAGAATATCCACAAAAATTTGTGTTGATTTTCCCCAAGTAAACTGATAGGACAATTTAGTTGTTCAACTCGATGAAATTAGCTAAAATATAGTGAATGAAATGGGCACAAGCGTCTGTAGGCATGATAGATATCATCCATGTATGGAGAGCAAAATGTGTTAGGGGCCAGTGATATAAGATGTCAAGCTGTTGAAGATAGTCTTAGACATTACTTTTCCCAGTGGCCTGTCCCCCAATATCCCCCTTGAAACCAAGAACTTAGCACAAAGCTGGAATATTCACTGGATAATTTTTAATGCTTCACAAATAGATGATGTATTAGTCTGTTCTCACACTGCTAATAAATATATATCAGAGACTAGATAATTTATAAAGGAAAAAGGTTTAATGACTCACAGTTCTATGTGGCTGGGGATGCCTTACAATCATGGCACAAGGCGAAGGGGAAGCAAGACACGTCTTACATGGTGGCAGGCAAGAGAGCCTGTTCAGGGGAACTCCCATTTATAAAACCATCAGATCTTGTGAGACTTAATCACTACCATGAGAACAGTATGGGGGAAACTCCCCCCATGATTCAATTATCTCCACCTGGCCCCACCCTTTACACATGGGCATTATTACAATTCAAGGTGAGATTTGGGTGGGGGCACAGCTAAACCATGCCACATGATGTTACTGTTCATTAATGATTGGTACATATGCATGATGCTTTCTCTTATATTATTTATCCCTTGAATTAAGCATATAAACAGTAGCAGTTTCTTTGGGGAACCATACTGCCTACATTTTCAGTTTTTCATGACTTGTGTGTGAAACACATTCAAAGGTACAGATGCAGAAAGTCTTTTTTGTCTTGTTCTCTGATGCCACACTGGGAACACTAGATATGTACTCATCCATTACTAAAATGGTATTTTGTTTTCTGTTTCAGGATTTTTCTCCTTGTACACAACTTTAAGATTGACTTGCTCATTCATTGCGGTGAGTAGTAAGACACAAACCTTCAATCTCCATATGCCTCAAGTAAGTCTTAAAAGCAAAATATGTTCTGCATAAAGGTGGAAGAATAATGATTTAGAATCTGTGAAGTACAGAAATAGGATAATGTTGAACCTGCTCCTCTTCTAGGCCTGTGGTACTTTGGGTACTGGAATTAGGCAGTTACTACCAAGGATTGCTGCAAAAGAAGCAGTGATGTTGGGTGAATAAATATTTTGGTACAGAAATGCCAACAATAGGTGGTTCATCTCAAATAAAACCAATAGATCACCTGCCCAACTTTGTTAGCTTGCTAGGAAGTTAGTTATAATTACAATTAGAGTCTAAGACATATTTTCTAGTCATTAACATATTCCATACAATCTTGATAGCATTATTCCAAAAACCAAGATCATGTCATTAATTTAAACCTATTCCATGCAGTGACTATTCAGAGAAAGTAAATAGTATCTTCTCTTAATAGATGTATGCTCTTTTGTACCATAGATTATCTTTACAGTAGTAACTTGGCACTAATTTGACTTTCAAAATTGAACTGCTGCTGATAAATCTCTTAAAAAGTCTTTTTTATATGTAGTAAAATGTTTAAGAAACATTTAAAAAGTTAGAACAAAAAGATAAAATGAGAAACAGAATATGAAATAAATTAGCATAAGACCTTGGTATTATACCAAGGTCAGGAAGACGGTTCAGTAAAATTCAAATTATTATTGTATTGCTGTTCTTTACTTTGGGAAAGGTATATGTGTATGTAAGAAGTTGCACATATAGTGCCAAACAAATGTCTTCAAATTTAAGAACGATGCCCATGAAAGGAAAATCAACCTAACAAGAAGGAAAGAAATATTAGTATTTATAACACAAGAAACCTTAAAAGGAAGGGGTTATGATCTTGTATAAGAGTATACATATATAAGTAGATAGATACACATATTATAAATATATTGACATATGAACATACTTAACTACAACATAGCTGATATTCTAAAAATAAAATATCGAATTGTGATTTTGCATATGTTTCTTTTCAGTAAACAAAGGGTATTAAAGGAAATATAAAAATTAATGCAATGGAAAAAATATATTTGCCTGTGATAGTACTAAAATTTGTTACTGGATATTTCAATTAAACTTAAAAATGTAAAAAGACAAAACAAGGAAGCAACAAAGAGATTTGCAGCACAGCAAAAAATGGCCACCAAGAGATCACATTTGTCTTCTCTGCACCTGGCTTGGTCTGACAGTACTTCAAAATTGTACTGGGGATTCTGGCACCATTTTTATAAAGGTAAAGGTTGGGTAACTTGACATCCAAAAGAAAGTTAATATAATAATTGGTTTTACATGTGACTATATCCTCAGTTTCATCATATTTACTAAAGGAGAAAGAAAAACCTGACTTATAAATGTGGCTCCCCTTATTTAAAATTACTTAGCCTGTGGAATAAATAAATTGTGGTGGACAGAATCTAAGGTTGCATTCATGGTCCCTGACTCCTGGTGTTCATGTCCTTACTCTCTCCCCTAGAGCATGAGTGGGAAATATGACTTGCTTCTAAGCTCTAGCATATGCAAAGGGGATGAGATATATGTGACTGTGCATACGTGGTTACATGATTACATGACATAAGATGAAGTGCCGTCTTGCTGGAGTCTCTCACTCTCTTGTTGACCATGAAGATGGAAGTTGCCATGTGGTGGTGGGCTGCCTATGTTGGGAGACCCACAGAGGAAAGAACTGAGAGAGCCTACAGGCTGATGGTGGCCTCCATCCAACAGTCAGCAAGAAACGAAGCCTTCAGTCCTACAGCTGCCATTTTCGACTATGCGTTCCATCTAACATGAGTGGAACTGATATTTTTATAAAACAAAAACTGAAATACATGTTTCTATATAAATCTCCTCTTATAAATAAAATGAAGTAGTGGAAGGATACTTGAAGGTAGTGGTGCCAAAAAGTGGTGCCAATGTGAAAGGACAAATTGTAAGGGAACAGAAATCTCTTTCAGTGGATAAAAGAATAATACAATTAAAAATGTGATCAATTAACAGATTAAGCTGATAATGAATAATAAGCAAGAGGGTACTAACAGTAAAATTAGAGTTGTACTCCATCATTACTTGAACCCAAACTAACTTATCGATATGCTTCAGGATGAGAAGTCTGCCATCGTCCATCAGCCTTGCTTATTTGGGAACCAATTTAACTCAAGTCTAGTATTAGGCAGTGGCGATTGAGGTTTGGAAATAAGTTGTTTGGTGTTCTATAGCCAAGGGTTAAAACTTTTGAAATGTTTTTGATGCCAGCAATGCTATTGCATGGTTGGCTCTTTAAATACTACCTGTGGAGGCCAGTTTGCTTGACTTTATTGGGCCTGGGTGTATGGACTAACTGGGGCTTCATAACTCTCTATTCTGTGTCTCTAATACCAGCTTTTGAAGAGTGCAGAAAAATGTAGATCTCCCTGTTCTAAACTTCAGTTGGAAAACCAGTGCTCCTGTTTACTTTTCTCATTATTTCAACCCTTGCTAAGGGTTCCATGGCTGCTGGTCACCCTGATTGATGCCATCCTATAATTGGAATGACTTTTTAATACCTATATAGAATTGGTTTCTAGTCCCCCTCCCCCACCCTAGTTCTTCCTTGACTTTATAGTAGCTTCTCCCCAGAAGTCTGCTTTCTCTCTCTTAGATCATGTTCCTTTTCTTCCATGTATCTTGTAGCCAGTGCTGTGTGGTATGTTCTTTCTTCATCATGGAATTCAGTATGAGGGACACATATTTTGGATCATCAAAATGCAACGAAGGACTTATAACAAATGTTTTATTTTATGGAGACTTTTTTTGCCCCTTGGATTATGAATTCAATGATTGAAATTTGAAAATCAATGAACTTTGCACTTGAAATAATATATACTCTAATAACTTTCCCAAATAACAAATTTAAACTGGTTCCTCTGAAAGTATTCTTATACTATAGTAATTTCCTCTTTAAACCTTTAATAATTACACATAACCTATTACTGAAATAGGATGTAAACTTTGTACCCAATGTTTTGCTTCTATTATTTTCTGGAATGCTCTTTCCCCATTCTTATGGTTCCCCCAAAACATACACATATAGACTTTCTCCCTCTCTTCTGTTTCCTGAGGTGCCACCCATTCCTTAAGTCCTTTTTCATTTTCCAATTTCACCCTGAAGGCTTTTCTGATTTACTTAAGTAAATAGTCTGTTTCTCTTTCAGCCTTCACATCTTGCTTTATTCCTCTGTTATGGTATTTCTCTTAATCTTTGCTTATATTTGTTGTTTCTTTTCTTCTTTATTAGATCCTAAGCTATCTGAAGGCAGGGGTCAAGCTGTTATGATGTTTATGTTACTTAAGATCTAGATAAATAATAGCTAGTTAGTTAATAGATGTGTATTGGGTTAAAACAAATTAACCCCCTTTAGCCGTGCATGAGGCCCTACCAACAATGAGCTAATGTTACCTTAAAAGAGATTTCCATTACACTTACTCATGAAAGGCTCTTCTCTTTTACTGTATGTGACAAAATGAGAAGGTAAAGGTAAAATAGTGACTTTTCTATGAAACTAAATTTATTCAAGTTTACAAAAAGCCTTTTATTTTGTGTTGCTGCTCTTTTGACTTGTTGAAAATTAACATTTCTCCTTTTTTTGTGGTGGGAAGTGCTTGATTGTTATAAGAATAAAGGTTTAGAATCTCTATATTAGTTTCTCTAATTTTTTACTGGTCTGTGAAATCAGAAGTCTTGGGAACTGCTGATCTAGGGTGTTCGTACATGCCAATATAACCAAACAAAAGGGTTAAGGGATTCTGGTGTAACCATGTATGGAGAAAAGAACAATGGACTAAGATGTAGGAAAACTGATGCCAGCCCTGATGGATCTTACAACTACTTATGTAACATTGGTCTTGGCTTTATGTAATTAAGCTGAGTAAAACTGCCTCAGGTATCTCTTGAGGTAGATGTGAGACCCAAGTAAATAATCAGGTTGTAAAATGTTTTTGTTTCTAGTATAGTTTAAAAGCAAGGGATTGTGTAGTGCTAGTTATCGGTAGTGTTTTCCTGTGTCTTTAGTGTCAACAGTATTTCCTTTAGAGAGCCCTTTCTTCATAACCAGAAGCAAGTCCATGATTTTCTATGCTTTGAATTACAAATTATTCCTCACCCTTCTAGTGACATTGATTTGATTATATATCATAAACTGTCCAGCAGGATTTTTATTGTCAGTTTAAAATGAAATAATAGCTTAAAAATCAGAATGCCAGTGGTAGATATTTGTATAAGTGATTCCAACTGAAATGATATATGGACACTATTTGTATTTTGGAGGCTCCAGTCATGTGAGAAGTGAACTTTAAGTCTGAAGCATACTTATGCAGATATTCTATATGAAGGGTTATTTCTGCAATGCAAAATTGTCTTTCACTTTGCATGAACAAAACCAACACAAATAGAACTGATTGCATTAATTCACTAAGTGACTACACAATCTGCTGTGTATAAAGATATGTTGCCAAAATATTGAATTGCAGGACTATTTGTTAAATGTGAGAGTAGAGTAGGGTTAGACCTAGAAGGGTAAACTTGGCCACTATATTAGTCCATTTTAATGCTGCTAATAAAGAAAAACCTGAGACTGGGAAGTAAAAGAGGTTTGATGGACTTAACTGTTCCACATGGCTGGGAGGCCTCACAATCAATGTTGAAGGCAAGGAGGAGCAAGTCATGTCTTACATGGATGATGACAGGCAAAGAGAGAGAGCTTATGCAGGGGAACTCCTCTTTATAAACCATCAGATTTCATGAGACTTACTATCACAAGAACAGCACCAGAAAGACCTGCCCCCATGATTCAGTTACCTCCCACCAGGTCCCTCCCATAACAGATGGGAATTCAAGTTGAGATTTGGGTGGGGACATAGCCAAACCATATCAGCCACTTACTCCCCTCTTCTGTGTCATCGTCATTAAAAAATGACATTACAC